GCGGGCTGGCGATAATGGATTCTACGCCTTGGGCCGATGCGGCCTTTTATGCGGGCTGGCGATAATGGATCTTACGCCTTGCCCTTAGGCATATTTAGTTAACTATTTTGCGTTCAGTCTCCAAGTCGGGTTTTGACTCGAGCTCATTCGAACCCTATGTTTTTGGATTTGCATGGGTTGGCGGCAGTGGCTCTTATGCCTTGGGCTGTTGTGGCCTTTTATGTGGGCTAGCGACAATGGATCTTACGCCTTTGGTCGAAGTGACCTTTAATTGGCTTTATTTTTCCCTCGTTAAGGACTTTTTTGAGATAAATGTTGCCTGATTCTTTGACAGTTCGATAAAAAACCTCGATTACGAATCGTTATGTGGCTATGATCAAGCACATCAGAAGGTTTTACTCGGAGGTTGAGTATCTCGAAGCTTGTGATTTGGAGATGACATGGTCGAAGCGCTTTTGCCTATGTCGAGGGTAGCCTGTTTAATTGGTTCTTTTCGAAGTAGATTAGAAGTAATTGAAGGCCTGTGATTTTGTAACGACAGTCTGGCGTCCCCGAGTCGTGTTAGTTTGGCTGGTACAACCTTATAACCATAGTCATTTGTGCTTGGCCGGAGCCATTTTTGGTCCCGAGTGAGGTAGTTTAGGCGTCTATATCGAGAGTATGCCTTTTAGGGATCTTACAAGTTCAATATATAACCTTAACTTTGAGATCGGGTTTATGCCTTTAGTAAGGTCTTACAAAATTTTCATACCTTTGAGGTCTTACAGTTTTAGATATTTCGTACAAGTATGGTTCATGCCTTGCTTGAGGTCTTACAAATACTGTTGCTGCCTTATGTAGGGCTTACAAGACCGAGTTTGCCCACTCGGGGTCATTATGGCCTCGGGTTTTTTAATGAATGGTGATTGGATACAGTCACTGAGTCATCGAGGGTATCCTAGCTCGGGAGCCGTTACTTGTAAACTTGGTATTGCATCATTGAGGGCTTACGATTTCAGAGATTCCGACCCTGAGGTCATGTGATTTTAGAGATTTTGACGCCAATCTCAGAGTGTTCGGGACACTTTCGGCTTTGGAGACGTCTTATAACTTTGATGTTGCCTTATTGAGGGCATACAAGTTTGGAGTTCCGACATAGGGGTCGTTTAGGTGTTGAATTGTTGACGTCAGTCCCCGAGTGTTTGGGGTATTTTTTACAGAGGAGTTCTTTTTTCTAAAACATCGATTTTCTTTTGCAGCGTGAAATTCCTTGACGAAAAGTATTCTTCGATTACATGGTACAAATATACTTGTTTTTGCTGCTAAGGGATTGGTTGCTCTATATGGGCACGGTTCGTTCGACCGTTTGGCTTGGTACATTGCTTTCATATCGAGGTCCCAGTTGGGATATCTTGTCTTTCCCGAGTAGGTGGCCTTATGAGGGGATACCCCCTGTATTCGAGGTAAATTGCAAAAGAAATCTTGAATAATTATTGAGTGTCCTTAGGTAACATACGACCGTTGCCTCGTTAAAAACCTTGCCGGTAAAACCCTTCTCGGGACAAAATTCGGTCGAAGGAAAAGAGTGAAATGCGTGCTCGAGGGTGTTTTTGGAAGTTTCAATCGGATGCCCTAGCAATAATATCGTTTAAGCATTGATATGTTCTAGTTGCTTGGAAGTTGTTCGCCATCCATGGTACCGAGCACGTAAGACCCTTTGCTGACTACTCGAGGACACAGTACGGTCCTTCCCAATTTTGGCCTAGCTTTCCTTCATTAGTGTTTCAGGGTGTTGAGGGTGACTTTCCTTAGGACCAAGTCCCCAACTCCAAAATGTCGGAGGTTTGTTCTCCTGTTATAATATCTTTTGATCCTTTGCTTTTGGGCGGCCATCCGGACCAATGAGGCTTCTCGTATTTTGTCTACTAGTTCGAGGGCCGTTGTCATGGCCTCATTGTTTGAGCTTTCAGTGGTGTGTTAGAATCTAGCACTCAGCTCCCCGACCTCCAGTAGTATCAAAGCCTCAGCTCCGTACACTAGAGAGAAAGGTGTTTCCCTTGTGCTTGATTTAGAAGTTGTTCGGTATGCCCACAACACTTCGGGCAACAGTTCTCTCCACTTTCCCTTGGCGCTTTCCAGCTTCTTTTTTATGTTTTAGATGATGGTTTTATTTGTGGACTCGGCCTGGCCGTTCACACATTGGTGGTACGGCGTCGATAGGATTCTGTTGATTTTATGACCCTCAAGTAATTGTGTTACCTTGCTTCCGATGAACTGCCTTCTGTTATCGCATGTCATATCGGAAGGAATTCCGAATCAGCATATAATATGGTCCCAAATGAAGTTAATGACTTCTTGTTCTCTTACCTTCTCGAAGGCCTGCGCTTCCACCCATTTTGAGACATAGTCAGTCATAAATAAAATAAATTTAGCTTTACCTTGTGCCTTCGGTAGGGTCCCAATGATGTCCATCCTCCATTTCATGAATGGCCATGGCGATCAGACTGAATGTAGCTGTTCGCCGGTTTAATGAATCACAGGGGCAAATATCTGGCATTTATCGCATTTTCGGACGAATTCCTTAGTATCTTTTTCCATATTGTCCCAGTAGTAGCCTGCCCTGATTATCGTTCGGACCAAGGAATCAACGCCATAGTGATTTTTGCAAGTACCCTCGTGAATTTCTCGTAGTACATAATCTGTATCCCCTGGCCCCAGACATACTGCTAGGGGGCCATCGAAAGTTCTTCTATACAGTGCCTTGTTTTCATTGAGCGAGAACCGGGCTGCTTTGGTTTGCTATGCCCTTGATTCCTTTGGATCCATGGGTAATTTTCCGTCTTTCAGATAATCAATATATTTATTTCTCCAGTACCATGTTAGGCTGGTGGAATTAATCTCCGCATGACCTTCCTCGATCACTGATTTAGATAGCTGAATAACAGCCCCAGGGAGTAGGTCATCTTCTTTAACAGATGATCCCAGGTTCGCGAGGGCATCGACCTCGCTATTCTGTTCTTGAGGTACATCCCGTCTTCTCGGACCTCGTAGCTCCCATTTACCTGGTTTACTAATAGGAGTGAATCACATTTTTCTTCAATGGTCTCGGCTCCCAGGCTTTTGGCCAGTTCTAAACCTGCAATCATAGCCTCGTACTCGATTTCATTGTTAGTCAATTTTGCAGTTTTAATAGATTGTATATCACACTGTCCGTAGGTGGCTTTAGGACTATACCAAGTACGGATCCTCTCACATTTGTGGCACCTCAGTGAACAGGGTCCATACCCTGAAAGACGTGCCTGATTTTAGTAAAAGTTCCTTCTCTACCTCGGGCATAAGGGAGGGCGAGAAATCGGCCACGAAGTTCGCTAGAATCTAGGACTTGATGGTCGTCCGAGTTTGATACTCGATATCGTACCCCCTTTAGTTCGATGGCCCATTTGGCCAATCGACCGGATAGTTCGAGTTTGTGCAATATGCTCCGGAGGGGGTATGTCATTAGAACGTAAATATGGTGGCATTGAAAATAGGGTTTCAATTTTCGTGATGCGCTTATTAACGCAAGAGATAAATTTTCAAGGTGTGGGTACCTAGTTTCGGCATCCCCTAGTGTCCGACTTACATAATAAACAGGGAATTGGTACCTCGCTCTTCTCGAACTAACATGTCGCTCACCGCTATCTCAAATACGGCCTAGTATAGATATAGTGCTTCATCCTCCTTTGATGTGTGGAGCAGAGGTGGGCTAGTCAGATATCGTTTCAGCTCTTCTAAGATGCGTTGGCATTATGGAGTCCATTCGAAGTTGTTTTTCCTTTTGGGTAAAGAGAAGAAATGATGGCTCATGTCGGATGACCTCGATACGAATCTGCCCAGAGCCGCTATTCACCCTGTCAGCCATTGCACGGTCTTTTGCATTATTTACCACCGTGTTCGCTTCGATGGCATTGATTTTATTGGGGTTAATCTCGATCCCCCTGTTCATTACCATGAAGCCTAAGAATTTTCCCGAACCTATTCTAAAGGCACATTTCTCAGGGTTGAGCATCATGTTGTAACTTCTGAGGATGTTGAATGTTTTCTGCAAATGAGTTAAATGGTCTTCTGCGTGTTGGGACTTAACTAGCATGTCATCAATATAAACTTCCATGGATCTACCCACTTGATTCTCAAACATTTTATTAATTAGACGTTGTTACGTAGCCCCTGCATTTTTTAGTCCGAAGGGCATTACATTGTAACATTAGGTACCATACTTTGTGATGAATGAAGTCTTCTCTGTGTCTTCGGGTTTCATCTGAATTTGATTGTACCTCGAGTAGGCATCGAGAAAGGTGAGGGTCTCGTGGCCGGCCGTAGCATCAATCAGACGATCGATGTTAGGAAATGGGAATGAATCCTTGGGACACGCCTTATTTATGTCTTTATAATCTACGCACATTCTTAGCTTATTTCCCTTTAAGTACTACTACTACGTTGTACAACTATTTGGGGTACTTTACCTCTCTAATGGACCTTATTTTAAGGAGTTTTATTACCTCATCCTTGATAAATGCATGTTTTATCTCGGACTGGGGTCTTCTTTTTTGGTTCACCGGTTTAAACCTGGGGTCGACGCTCAGTCAGTGGGAGGTTATTTCCGGTGGGATACCTGTCATATATAAGTGGGACCAAGCGAAATAGTCGATATTATTAATGAGAAATTGAATGAATTCTCTCCTGAGTTTGGGGGTTAATAATGTTCCCAGGTATACCTTACGATCGGGGAAGTGTTCGATCAAAACAACTTGCTCCAGATCTTCAATTGTAGGTTTTGTTGCATCTGACTCTTCGGGGGAAACAAAAGTTTGAGGGGCGAGGAAATCTTCTTCGTCGTCCTCTAGGGTCTGTATGCTCTTATACACATCTGAGGTCGGGAGTACGGGGGCCGACGCCTTTTGGTAAATTGAAAATATTTCTTTTGCCACATTTTGTTCTCCATATATGGTTGTTATGCCATCCTTTGCTGGAAATTTTATCATCTAGTGCAGAGTTGATGATACTGCCTTTATGCTGTGTATCCACGACCTCCCAAGCAATGCATTGTACCCCATGTCGCCATTGATGACTTGAAACTTGGTGTTCAAAACCATGTCGGACGTGTCGACTAGAAGGGTGATTTCTACTTTTGTTACTTCGCCGTCCATGTTGAAGTCGTGGATGACTTGGGAGGTGGGTATGATCTGATCGAGCAATCCAAGCTGTTCTACTACCTCCGACCTGATTACGTTGGCCGAGCTGCCTAGATCCACGAGTATACGTTTAACTTGAATGTTGTTTAAAAGAAATGAGATTACCAGCGCATCGTTGTATGGTTCTGCCAAGGTCTCGAGATCCTCTTCGCTGAATGCAAGGGTGTCTTCAGCTACGCGGTCTCGGATCGACCCCTCTATTACGGCAGATAATTTTGTCCGTTTGATCATGGTCACTTGAGGAATGTCGGTCCCTCCAATAATCATATGAACGACATGCCGAGGAATTTCTTTTTTTGCCCAGGTTGGATTTTGCCAAGTTTCCCGCGGAACTTTTCGACGTGCTTTTTGGTGAATGTGAGGAGCAGTACTAACGCATTGGGCATTGCGTGAGGTTGTACCCTTGGAGGTCATCTATGGTGCTTTCACAGGGTTCCGTGGTGGTATACCAATATCTTTAATAGCCATACCGTTCTCTCCCCGGTTCTCAAGGTAGCTGTTTTCATCTCTATTTACTTAGTTAGGAATTTCAACCTGAAACTTGAAGATCTTGGACAAGAACAGGTGTGAAAGATAAATTGTGTTGTGTAATGAAACCAGTAAGAAAATAATCACTATTATTTTTATCCCCATGGTGGGCGCCAAACTGTTTACCGTGAAAATGGTAATAACAATTAAATTTGATTATGGGACTCTAAAAATACGTGATCTATTTTTATTCTAGTTGTTAAGTAGTTGATGCTACATATGTGAGACTTAGAAACGAAATGAGAGTCAAGGATAGGGTGATAATCAAACTGATAGGTTAACAATCGAGGCCTCGAACTTATAGATGCAGGGTCATCGGGGTTGATTCTGGAGCTCCACTGCGAGCTATAGAAGGCAGTTGAAGAGTGACTAACAATAATAATAAAATCAATGGAGGCTCTTTATAGCCAATGATAAGCAATAAATGACGAATAATAATTAAGAAGAAAATAATAAATGGAAGCAATAACATCAAGAGAATATGTTAAATGGCAAAAATAATGTTTTTGTGTATTTCGTGTGAAGCAACCAACCCTTACAATATGGCAAGGACCCTCTTTATATAGGAAAGAGGGATCTTATCACAGTATAATTGCATTTATTACAAAGATATGGAGATGTGATAGCTAGTTGATTTCATGACACGGGCTCAAACTAGCTTGACAGGCCTTGTCGGCTCTAGCTGCACCCCTTGGGAACTCCCCTCTTTTCCAATATAGCCATTAGTCTGCATTGCCCCGAGGTCGAGCATCGACAGCCCTCGAGGGTGAACCTTGACCCAAGTCTCCAACATTGGGAAGTATGTTCGTGGGGCGTCATAATGGCATGGAAATTGGACCCTCCAATTTTATCTGTGCACATTACTCAAGTAGTATATGGCTTGCTCCTTTCTCCCTATCTCGTCATGTTGTCCCAAAATGCATCCAAAAGCTTCATATAATACAAATACATAGCGTAGCAAATGTCTCCCATGTTTTAGAGGAACTAGGACTGGTGGTGTGGATAAGTACTCCTTGATTTTATCGAAAGCCTTTTGACAATCATTGGTCCAACTTTTTCAGCATCTTTCCTTAACATCTTGAAGATGCGTTCACATATGACTGTGGATTGTGCTATGAAGCAATTGATATAGTTGAGACGTCCTAGGAAGCTCATCACGTCCTTCTTGCTCCTTGGTGGCGGTAACTCTTGAATAGCCTTAACTTTGGACGGGTCTAACTCAATTCCCCGATGGCTGACAATGAATCCTAATATCTTTCTTGAAGGAACCCCGAATGCACACTTTGTGGGGTTTAGTTTTAAGTTGTACCTTTTTAACCTGTCAAAGAACTTTCTCAAGTCTGCTATGTGATATGTGACCCTCTTGGATTTGATAATGACGTCGTCAACATATACCTCTATTTCATTGTGTATCATATCATGGATGATGGTTGTCATGGCTCTCATGTAAGTGGCCCCAGCATTCTTTAGACAAATGGCATCATCTTGTAGTTGTACACCCCCATGGTGTAATAAAAGCTATTTCTCTACGTCTTCTTCATCCATCCAGATCTGGTGATAACCCTCGAAGCAATCCACAAAGGATTGGAGCTCGTGCTTGGAACAATTGTCGATTAGGATATGGATATTTGGCAGTGGGAAGACATCCTTGGGACTTATTCTGTTTAAGTCTCGATAGTCAACACATACTCTGACTTTCCCATCTTTCTTTGGAACTGGTACAATGTTGGCTAACCAGGTTGGGTACTCAACTACCCTGAGGACTTTGGCTTTGATCTGCTTAGTAACTTCCTCCTTGATTTTCAGGCTCATATCTGGTTTGAACTTTCTGAGTTTCTGCTTCACCGGCGGACACATTGGATTGGTAGGCAACTTTTAAGCCACTATGGATGTGCTTAGACCGGTCTTGTCATCATATGACCATGCAAAGTTGTCCTCATTTTCCTTCAAGAAACAAATGTACTCTTCCTTCTCTAGTGGTGATAAGTGAATACTTATACGAGTCTCCTTGACGGTTTCGGCGTCTCCAAAATTTACTGATTCGGTTTCGTCCAGGTTGGACTTAGGCTTATTCTCAAAGTTCTCAACCTCTCTAACAACTTCCTCAGTTATTTCATCATCTTCTTCCGAGTCACTAAACTTATGTTGTGTTGTCTCATTACATGTCACAGTCACTTGTTCATAAGGAAAGGTAATAATAATGTTGTAGAAAGAAAATAATGAATAATAAATAGCAATGCATTGATTAAATTCGAAAATATTCAAAGCAAATACAGCTCGATGAATTGAACAATTATTTTGAACCAAAACGCGTCTTTAAAACAAAATTACTGAAACATCTGAAATACCTAGCATTGCTATAAAAGTAAATTAGGCTAAATGCCAAGCTACCCAGGAACTCGGTGGGCCCGAGATGGTGTGGCGGTCCAATTTCTGAGAACGACTCCCTTTCCACAGTCTGAATGGTGAGGCCATCTTCCTCCCCCTCCTCAATTATCGCACTGCAATCCTTATCCCCGTCTTCTAGGAACAAATTCCTCACTCCAGCTAAAGCTTCTTCTTCTGTCGTTCCCCATATTGTATCAGCTCGGTGAAAAGTTTGACCCAGATGTGGTACTGGTTGCTCGAGAGGGTAATAAGCACGCTACGACGGTGACCAAACATCATACTCTTGCCATATATACTGGTTCCGAGCCCGAAGTTTGTATCATCACATTTAAACTATATTGGTTTGGTAATGCCCTTAAGATTCTTCCCAAGACCTTTGTCGGGTTCATAGCCAAACCATGCCAATATGATTTCTATTTTGTTACTCCACCATTTGTCTTTCTCAACGACATTGACATGTTCGATATGGTGATAAGTTTCCCCTCCTAGCCATCTTCTATTTTCGATAACTGGGATGGTTTGACTGGTGTAAATGGAGTTGCTCCCAACTCCGTGAATAATCACCTCCTGATGGTTCCATTCAAACTTCACGGCCTGATGTAGTGTGGAAGCCACAACCCTAGCGGCATATATCCAAGGTCGACCAAACAGAAGATTGTATGTATCTGATATGTCAAGCACTTGGAATTTAACATCGAACCAAGTTGGCCCATCTGTAGATAAAGATTAATCTCCCCAATCGGTGGCCGTTTAAGACCCGTCAAAGGTGTTCACGTTCATACTCCTGCCCGTATTTCTTGGAAATGTTTACCCAATCTTTTCAGAGTATCCAATGGGAAAATGTTGAGGCTTGAACCTCCATTGACCAAGACTCTTGACAATAAATTTGTCATCAAATTGTACAGTGATATGCAATGATCGATTATGATTCAGCCCTTCATGCGGTAATTCATCCTTGTGGAAGGTGATCTTATGACTTTCCAGCACCTGCCCTACCATGTTGGCAATTTCTCCGCAGGTGATATTGTTGGGTATGTAAGCTTCATTTAACACCTTTATCAAAGCATTCTTGTGCGCCTCTAAACTTTGCAAATAGTGATAGGATGGATATCGAAGTTGGGGTTTTGCTCAAATGATCAATGATGGAGTATTCCATTGCACGTACTTTCCTCCAATGATCATTTGGCCCTGTTTCAATGACAAGTTGCTTGGTAGTGGCCTCCTTACTCGATCCTCATTCCTTGTGCATCATCAGATTCTTCCACCTTTACCTTTCCCTTTCTCCTAGCTTCGGCATTGTAATCCCAGGGTATGGTTTTGGAATGGAAAGGAGGTGTTGTTGATACTTTCACTATGAAAGGTGTGGCCACTTCTACCTAAAATGGAACAGGTGTGGCTGCAAGCGGAGCTACCTCAACCTCAAATGGAACTGATGCAGAAACCTCAACCTTGACTGGCGACTGCGTCTGTAATACAATAGGAGTGAGTGTGACTGTAGGTTTAATGTCATCGCCCTCTCGAATAAGCCTGATTGACCCTCAGGATTCAATTCTTCATCTATTTCTATCGCATGTATCCCACTGCCCTTATGATCTAAGAGAGGATTGTTGCGGACATTGGGTGAAGCTTCTTTAGCCTGCTTGACCTTGTTGCCAATCAATGTATGGATTTTATCTTTCAATGTTTGACACTCTTCAATGGTGTTCCCCTTCATACCGGAATGGTATGCACATGTTTTGTTTGGATTGATCAATTGAGATGAGTTCTCTACTACCATAGAGGCAATAGGAGTGACATAACCAGCGTCTTTTAGCCTTTCGTATAGCTGGTCAATAGGTTCATCAATAGCGGTATATTGTCTAAGTGGTTTTCAATGAAAGTTAGGTCGGGGTCTTGGGGAGTTTTGGTGAGTCGGAGGTGATTGAAAATGAGATGCTTGGGAATTATAGGTGTGATAGGCAATGGCTAGTTGGGAATATCTAGAAGATGAGGGTTGGTATGTGGGTAAAGGTGTTTGGTATATGGGTGGAGGTATTTGGTATGTGAGTGGAGATTTTGGGCCTTGAGCCACTATTACTGCCCCTACATCTCTCTTCTTTGATATGCTTCCTGATTGCAATGCTTTGTTCATGGCCTGTAATGCCTCAAAATTTATTACCATTCCACTTTTGATACATTCTACAATCCTCTCTCTAAGTTTGATATAAGAGAATTTGTGATTATCAATAAACATTAACCTTTAATAATACTGAGGGTCCTGTGCCATGACAAAGAACTTGTTCATTTGTTCTTCTTCTAATGCCAGTCTGACCATGGCTGCTTCTGACCTCCATCGAGTATCATACTCGCGGAACATCTCAGTTGGTTTTTTCTTTAAATTTAGGATGTAGAAGACGTTCGGTGGATTCTCTGTGTTGAACCTGAACCGTCTGATAAATTCTGATGCCATACTCACCCAATTGGATCACTTCTTAGAGTTCTGGATTATGTACCAGGAT